TTTGAGCTTGTGGAGCACGAGATGGCACAAGCCCTTGCATGCATGGCTATCTGCCTCCCGTGAACTAAAGTTATGGCGGCGTCACGCATGCGCCGAACGCTTAGTGAGATCGGTCTATTGTAAACCAAGAATAACACAAAAAAAAAACGAACAAAAAACGCCCGGGCAAGGGGGCTTTCTTCCTCTGCTCCTAGGGCTGAGGCCCTTGGCTGCAGCCTCTTTAGCCCCCCCTTCCCCCCCTCCCTTAATCCAGCGCTGGGAACTGTGAGGGTGTCGCGCCCCTTAGCCAACCAGGTCTAGCGTAGTCGAGCTTTTGCACGCTAGGTGGCGCACGCTACCGCCCGAACTGCAACACCATTCTTAGTCCATTCATGCATCCAGGCCAGCTAACGGTCGTCAAATATTGTTGCGACAAGCGGTATTTTTTTTAATTAAAAAAAGAAAACAAAATGTACCAACTGTACTTCATTTCAGCTGAAGTTCAGACGCAGCCGACGCTACAAGAGCGAGCTCCAGGCTTTCAGCATCCCTGCCAAGCACGTGCGCTCGTGCATTGAAGACACTGTTCAGGGTCACATGCTCGCGCTTGCAGCATCGGCAGCGTCTGGACTTAAGGTCATACGGAGTATAGCTTAAGAAATTCCCGTGAGAAAGTAAAAAAAAAAAAAGAATCGGCGTTATAGGACGTTTACAGTTTCCTGTAATGCCAATTTAGAGCGCTGCTCTTGAGGTGGAGGAGGGGAGGGTACTAAGGGGAGGGTATGCCCTCCTCCTCATCCGTATCCTTTCCTCCCTCCATCAGCTGCGCCTAAATTTAAACTAAAACGAAGTATAGCTCTACTAATTCCCGTAGAAAAAAAACAAACAACGAAAACAAACATTAAAGGAGCAATGCAACAATTTTTGTACTTTGCGCAAATACCGCTTAAAACGGGTCCCCAACGTTAATGACCTATGAAACACGCGTTCGTTTTTCACCCCACGCAATAGAAGTCCCAGAGAAAAAATTAAAGAAAAACGAGCAGCGTTCACCCCCTCAACTCGCAGCCAGAACAAGCGGCCACGTGATCTGGAGCCGATTATATGCCGCCAATGTAGATCATAGCCACGCGCTGGGGTTGGCAAAGCACAGGGCACGCGCTGAGTTCCAGATATTGTTATGGCTCGGCTATTGTCGTCGTTGCAGCGATTGGACACGGGCCACTGCCCGAATGCTTCTCGAGCTAGCAATTATCACGAGCCTAAGTCGAGTGCCCACGCAATGCTCGGGTCCAATCTATGAACCGCATTCAAATATCGTCACTTGGGTGTACTGCGATCCCCACGTTACGTCATCAAATTTTACAAAGGAGAGATTGAATGAAAATGATCGCTTTTGTCCTTGAAATTACACAGCAACAAAGGAGTTTCTTGGCCAGTGGCGTTGCGTGTGAGTATCCTTGAGTCCCACTGGTGCCAGTAAGCTCGTGTATAGTGAAAAACATTCCAACTGAATATCGTTGCACAGCTCCTTTAATGCTTGAGTGATACCTAGCACTTCTGACGCGTGGCCCTCGCGCGAAGCCCATTCAAAATGGAGCAGTGGTCTATGCAGAGCGATGGCCCATCCCAAGAAGGACAGTGGGAAAAATTGCTTTGATGGAGGGTTTCTCACTTCATGTGGTCAACGCAGCGCAGCACAGTGCGCTGCAAATATTGGCGTTTGCCACACACAGGGACCCAACGCGAACGTACGCAACGTGGTTCTCGAAGGTGGTACGGCGGTAGCAGCAGACGACGGCGGAGCGACACACACTGTTCCCATAGTGCATCACGTACGCTGCTTGAGGGAGTGCGCTACTTTCCAGAAAGCTCTAATACTCCTTCAGGTTGAGCCAAGCAACAACATTTCTAGCGTACATATAAGTGAATGAGCGCGGTGATGCGAAGAGTAGAGATATACACTTGGATCTACCAAGGGCATATTTTTTTTTTGTTTGGATCGAGTGCTAGAGTTTTCTTGAAGCTAATAATGTTCTCTGGCTTACCGCCTGGCCACCACTGGTTTAAGCTGAGGCAGCTAGCTCAGGCCCCAACCCTTCGTCATGGTAGCGGCGTCAAAGCCATATAGAAGATTCACTTCGGCATCGCCTGTATGAAGAGCACCAGTAGAGCGCTTGCACCTGTACTCGCAGAAAAAGGACTTAAGGTGGCTCACAATCCAGTGTCAAGACAAAGACAATGAATTCCACAAATGAAAGATCGAGTCCCCAAGAAGGAGGCCCAAGACGTTATGTAGATGATGTCCGGTGCAGAGAGCCCCGTTGCCCTTACCGGCAAAACAAAGACCTTTTCGGAATGGCTAAGCAAATAAAAGACAACACGCGGATGTTCCGCCCGAGGTCAATGTCCTTGCCATGCGCTGTGATATCATGAACCCTCGCAAAACAACTTGCAGAATGCGTGCGAGTGTGACGCTAAAACCATTTCCCGAAAAAAAACACCTTGTAGAATTCTGGTGTATTCAAAACAGGACTCCAGCGCGTTTATATCACATGTTTTCTCACTTGCAAGTCAAGCAGGCAGAATAGAAGATATAATATTTTGCGCATATTTTGTTTGTTTTGCTGGCGTCATTGTTTCAAGCATTCAATTCACACCATCAAGCTTCTTGTAACCCTTCGCGCATAAGCTATACTTTTTCTATATCACAAGGTTTAACGTAACGTTTTAAGCTCTTTTCACTAGAACCTCTCAGACAAAATAAAAAGAAATAAATTGTTTAGCCAATTTTTTAAAATATTATAATGTGGGTTATTATTTAGTTTTGTCTAATAATGTTCTGAAGAAATTTTGAGTTATATCAGTGACTCTTCAAATTTTTTCCTGAGCTACCCTTTCACGAAGAAATCAAGTAGGTTACAAAAGTTCAGGACAATTTTTTTAAGGTTTGACTTGAGTTCATATTTAAGACTATATTCTTATTTCCTTACACTTAAATCGGTTTCTGCACTGCAGTAAGCGTCTTAATCCCGTTTAAATTTTTGGAGCGGTAGCTTTATCCTGCGATATACCATGCTTGAATTTACGTACCGACATCATACAAATAAAATATGATAATTGTTTCAGGGTTTCTCCGTACAGCCTGTAGGGATCTTGTCTCGGTTAGATTTGTTAAAAAATGATGACGCCATTTGGTCAGTCCATGGCGTTATGAAAATAGAATATTTCTGTATCACATTATTCTAGCTGGTGCATGCCTTGTGAGATCTAAAGCATATGAATTCTCATGAATAGAATCGACTTCACGTAAAAAAACGTATGATTTCTTGTTGTAAACAACATATTTCTCATAAAACAGTTTTCAATGACAGAAAATAAAATAAATATGACTGGGATACACCATTGATTATCAAGGCAACATCAATTCCGTATTATTTTCTATAGGTATTAATAGAAATTTATATCTCGTTAAATAATTGCCGAAAGTGTATATCATAAAACATATGGAATGAATGAATAAGTGAAATATTTAATATTTTTATTCTAGGCCTAAAAAACAGTAGGGAGAGACATTTGAACATTTTATAGGCAGCTGAAACAATTATAGCTGTTAAAAACCAATAGCTTCAAAAACAAAATGTTTTCACGGTGACTGAAGATACCCTAGCGGTCGTCAATCTGCTACTTGTACAAAACAAATCTATATCCAGCTATCGAAAGTTTAAAGGTGGTGCTGTATATTTAGCATTGTTTACATAGGTTTTAATAACCAGCCAAAGAAAATTGAATAGTAACGGTTCTATAGCTAGATATGCAATGAGATTACTAGAAAGAGAACTGTGTTATTAAGCCCTGGTAATTAAACTATGCATCACAGAAGGCTCGCATTTCGTAAGTATGTGATGCTAATGGTTGAATAGAACGCGAAAATGTGAGAACATGATGTTACCTGGATCAAATCATAATTGAGAATAACCAAATATTTTAATGAGACAACGTCCAACTAAGCCTAATATCGTTAAAGCTAGAAATAACACTGTGGTAGCACGTAGCGTCTATTTCAGCGGAAAAAGTTGTCCGCACGAATGAAATCAATACTGTAAAGGACTTATTTTTCAGGGGCTCAGTATTTCGCGATTTAGGTCAAAGTTGAATTATTGGAATAATTCGCGGGTGGGATCTTTAATATAGATTCCACTGTGTTTACATTTTACCGGAATTGTTTGCGGGACTTACTTATCGCGAATTGTAGGCGTTTTGCGAAATTCGAGAAAATTTGGGCCTCGCAAAAATTAAGTCGTTTACTGTATCCTTTTTCTTGCTGATAACTGTTTTACACTCATATAATTCCCACAGGCGTCCACAATAAGGAGTTCTGCTTCGACAATACCTGGCTTAGGTTATGATGATAATGCAATTAATGGAAAAGCGCAGCGAGGTGGAAAAGAATAATGGTAATAGTCCCTGTAGAAGGGGAACAGGGGGACAAAGGACACACCCATATCTCCAAACACGGCTAGGTGACTGTTGCGCGACTGAAAAGTCGCGCACCAGTCACCTAGGTGTGTTTCGAGATTATTGTTTGTTTTCTGTCGCCGTTGTTCCCCTTACCCAGGAAATATTATTGTTAGGCACCGTCGGCCTGTCTAGTCAGCATTATATCATGTTGGTGAACTACAAAGTTTGTTTGATATAATCGAACTCTCTCTTTTTTTTTTTTTTTTTTTTTTACACCGAGCGATAGACGCCTCGTTTATGAAATGTAAATTTCGTATGCCCCATGAACATTTGTGCTTGTCTTGTTTTCGGCGCTTTTATACTTTTAACTCACTAGCTCCATTCTTCACTTTATTGCAGTAAGCTTCGTCCTGCGTGGTTGTACAAAACTCCTCAGGAGCGGGAAGGTCGAGCTGCGCTATCCAGCAAGCTGCTTCGCCAGCAAAAACTACGTAAGCAGCTGTGTACCCCACAGCTACTGCGTCCCACGACAAGAGGGAAACCTTTCAAGCGACGTCACCATGAGAGTCAAAAAATGTAAGTCGTCGACCCTTTCAAGCATTCTTCGCCCATTAAAGATTCTGCTCGTGACTAGTTTTCACCCAGTACATTTTCTAAAAAAAATATATGTGTGAAATTCCGGCATTCAAAACGTTGAATAGAATTGTTATGACATCTGTAAACTTCAAGTATTCAATACATGTGACCAGGTTACTGCGGCCAGTGCATCAAGAAAAGTAAGTCATACTCAAAGTAATATTTTCACTTTGCGGCAGTTGGTGACAGGCTGTCCGTCATTAGCGACACAAAACTGTGGGCTGAGGGCTGCCTATTACGACCGTTCTACTTTCCGTTAATGCGCGTTATTGGATAATATCAATTAACATTACCACACACCACAGCCACGATGAATAGTGGGCAAAAACTGTCTTTGTATTACCAAATTGTCCGTAGCAGTCGTGAAAAGGCTGTCATATTAATAGCAAACTACCTTCGTCTTAGTTATAAAATTTGCCCTATAAGAAAAAGCAAGGACGCGGAAGGATATTTTTAGTGCCGATTATTTCCCGTCCAATTACGTAATCTAAAGCGAGGCAAAAATAAAATAAGCTATAACTATTTTCCCGGAGGTGTTGTGCTTATGTCAATTCGACGCGTTTTAAAATCGTTTTGCAGACCTGGTATGGAAACTTGCAAAAAAACAGGATGGGCGGAAATCAAAGCTAAAAGACGGTAATATTTGCTTGGGAAATTACTATTTTCTTTCAGAATGTGACTAGTCCGTACCCAGTTCGTTTATTGAGCAAGTTATTGAAAATTCTCGAAGTATCGTGATTTTTTTACCAGCAATTTTGAACCTAAAATCGAGTGAATTGGAACATGGTATCATAAGGTCTGATAGTTATAACGTGTGCATAAAATCCAATAATCTGCGAGAACTCGTAAACTACTAATAAGTATTTCAGAAAAAGTGTTTTTCAACTACAAGGCCAACTTGTTCAATATTTACGTTACAGATAATGAGTGTATGCTCCAAGGACCTGTTTCTTTTATCAATCTAATTGACACCTCGCTCGTGGTATCTGAGTGGACTTGTAATAAATTTGATCACCTTAGTACAGGATGTCTGCGGCTTAGAGACGTATTTTAGAAGCAAAAATTGCACTTCTCAAAATGTTCGAGAACGCGAATTTGCAATTATCGTTTCACCGATAGTGTAATATATTTATTTCGCGTGTTTTAAATGTATATTCACCTTTAAAGTTTTTTTTTCCTCTTTCAGTGTCATATGAACTATAACATTTAATGAGGAAAAAAGGCACGCCATCCGAGGCGTTACCGTATACCGATAGATGTTGGTGGTATGGAAATCTAAATCGAATGCTGTTTTTGATATAACGCTGATACCGTCGGGACCACAAACATAGACATTAAGAACACTGAATTGGCCCTCAAGCGGAATCAGAACCGACGACGCTTTAACGCATGACGCGTTTTGGGGCTGGTTCAAAGTCGAAAGGGTCACGAGAAGTTATTCCGGGAACCTGACAACGCGGTCAATCTTCGTAGGCGCCCGTCAGGTACGTGTGTGCGAAAAAAAGCTATCTTTGGCAACTTTCAAAGGCGCTCTGAATGCATTGCGTTAAGAGGGCCTCTGTGCGCTCATCGTTTTGATTGCATGGTAAGGAGGCCGCTCAGGGGCATATTGTGAAGATTTTTCTCGAATATATTGAAAAGCCGTCAGAGTGTCCCATTGCGCTTTGATGCAATGGTGTCAGTGACGTTATAACGCCACGCGACGTTGCAGTGCCACATGACGTCATGGTCACGTGACGTAACAGCGTCACTTGAAACCATAACGTCACGTGACACAGTAGCGTGACAATGTCACGTGGTACTCTGCCGTCATTGAGGCTACATGCCACGGGCACAAAATCCCCGAGGCTAGCCCTATGAAATTTAGAGCTCTTGCTCCCTCACCGAGGAAACGAAGTAACTTTGCCTCTCATTCCTTTTTACGGTGGTATAAATGTGCGTCAACAGACTACTTTAACGACTGTTCTTGCAGCTGTAATGTACTGAGGTTGTCGAATAAAATTGGCCACCCCAATGTCAGGAGAGGCCACGTGATGGCACGTGATAAGGTAGGCACAGTAGGTCCCTTGATTACGTAAGCTATAGTTACGTGATGAAGTGACCACTCACGGTATCACGTGAACCACCAGATCCGCGTAATTGTGTCACATGCAACTCTACACGTGACGTCTTCAAGACAGGGTAACGTGAGCCTCTCGTGTATCTTCACGTTGCGCCGCAATCACATGAGCAGATTATGTGGCTTCACGTAAATTTTAATTTAATGCAATAATGGTGCAGCTCACTTTAACTCTTCGCATTTAGTTGGGAGACGCAGAAGACGCAGAAGACGCAGTGCGTTTCTTAGCCTCTCAAGAGCTTCAAACCCACAGAATTCAAAGATAGGAATACATACGACAGGTCTCAAGTCGGCAAAAATCGTAGACCGTCAATACACATATCAAAGTAAAAAAGCGGCAAAAACAGTAAAAGGCGCTGAGACATAAGCAAAGGATGCGTCGCTTGTTATCTTTATCCGATGAATGAAGGTGTTCTGGAGATACACAAAATATTTTCTGATTGATCTACACATAGAACAAAACTTTCGTGTCTTTCTGAACATATCATCAATGCGAGTGACGTTTCTCTATTTGTAAAGTTTTATTTGTAATTTCTAATTAACCAGCAAGTAGGCCTCAAGATTACAAACTCCGTTACAAAGGACACACGATTACTTAGTCATTCCCGTGCTTTGCACTGACGAAGTTTTAATGATGAATTGGTCGTTATCTTAAAAGAAATTGACGGGAACTAACGAAATTCCCAAGCTTGTATATTCATTTATTTATTTATTTATTTATGTACACATATAGAGCCTGCGCCGTTAAGCATTATTAGGAGGTACATCAGAGAAAATTTCAAAAACACACAAATATATATACAAAGAAACATGGTTTACTCTACAAGAAATTTCTGCAATATATCGTAGAAACGATCAGCATTGGCGATATAAATATCCGCTAATACAGTACAATTACAAATAGTTTTGACTAAAAAGAAAAAAAAAAGAAAGAAAAAAAGTGTATGGTAACAAAAAGGTTCCAACCTAATCTTTGTTTTATTTCAGGGCAACTTGCATAGGCGCTGTAGTCGCTTATCACAAATATTGGCGCTTGATTTTGAATTTGGTCTGAGTTATGTGCGAGGGAGCTTTGAGGGGGGTTCCAAATAACAACGTGTATTCTAAAAATGGTCTCAAAAGTAAAATGCAATGCTTGTTTCTCGTTGCGAGATGTATTTTGAAAAGTATTTTAAATTGTATTTTAAATTGAATGGAGAATAAACTCTAATATACTGATTTTTCTGCACATTCAAGTATACATTTGTTCAGTTCATACATATTTGCAGAATCAACGCGTCGAGAGAAACATGTATTTCCACTTTTGATTATTTAAGGTCATTTTCCAAAAATCACGCCAGTCCTGCCGAAATTTTGAATAGCTTTGAAATATACTATCTTCCATGTTATTTTCAACGATTCGGTAGACTACACAGTCATCTTCAAATAACTTAAAATGTGACTGTACAATGGCACACAGTTTATTATTAAATATTAAAAAAATGATTACGGCCCGAGTACACTTACCTGCAGAACCCCGAAAGTAACGAGTACTGCATGGCACAAATTTTTGACCATTCAGCACGACGCTTGGTTCACGACCGGACAGGTACTCGGCTATTGACTTGGTCACCTTGCCGTTAATGCCCGGTTACAGCAGCATTTTTCAAATAAATCAAATACGGCTCGGTATTAAAAGCTGTACAGAAGAAAAAACAACACAATACACAGGTTTTCTGCTGTCTATACTATAGACAGCAGAAAACCTGTAGCGGAACTTGTGCTATAGACTCTATAGCATTCGAAATAAAATGGTTAAATTCCTCTAGCTGGGGGACGCACGAATAGCCTCGACTGAAGCCGTGCTGGGAAGCAGTAATGCATCGCAAGATTCCAGAAAACAGAACATTGAGTTGTATACGTTCGGAGACGATACAAGAAATACAGGTTAACGACACCGAATGGTGATTTTTGGCAAGATTTTGTTATTAAGACTTAATAAAATCGGAGTTCCATTCGCGCTTTTTCAGTGACTCGGAACTGCAGTAGTTTCTGATGATATGGTAAAAATAACATTTGAATAGCTTGGGATTCCTTCTTTGCAGTTGTGAGAAATTACCCGCGAAAACCCAGCTGGTGCATATTCTCTGGAACTATCAATATCTTCAAAGACACTCTTAGTTAAATCCTGGCTAAAATGCACGCATATAGGCATGAAAGCGGGCCGCTTACAAGCAGTTGGAGGCTTAGGTGTCTCAACTTAAGCGGCCCGTTGTCATGACGCCCAGATTCAAGCGGCCCTTTGTCACGTGGATAAGGTTTATGCGGCCTACGTGGTATTTGAGATCAATATTTTCCTGGCTATAAGGGGCCTACGATTACACGGCCTAAAATTGAAATTGCGGCAACATTATACAATGCCATTTTTGCGTCATTCTGTGAAGACTGGGAGGCACAGAGAGCCGGCATGATACTCCGCCTAATTGTTTCTTGAGCTGGAACACAAGATACAGGAACACAACATACATTACTTGTGGTTAATCAAATCCGCGCCCGCGAAGTGAGAATCAGACACCATAGCCACTATACCACAAAGGCACACATGCAATGCGTGCGTTGTCGTATGCTTATATACACACGAATTACTTGCTAACCTCATCGACCGAAGGAGGGATAAGTGCCTACGCTATGGGAGGAATTACAATAGCTTTTTCTCTTCTCCAGGGATTATTTATCGCGTATACCCGGCTCGACGTGGTATTTTAACGTTCGGCACAATGCTTCCGGGATCCTTCCGCATAAGCAGCGCATGAAGGAACACCGCACTTTGTTGCTAGAGCAGTAAAAACAGGTCCAATTGCATCCTCTGAAAGCAAGACTTGGGCACAAGTGACAGGCCCGTTGTAAACATGTTTCGCTCGCCTCCATGGACAAAGTTGCCTAACATCGTGCGCCGCGTAAAACGGAACAGCGCCGCTCATGCATTCATCTTGCTCGCCCCAAACTCCCACTTATCGAACTTTGCGTACTTACGTCTTGCACAAGTGGTATTGCGAAAGAGCATTATCACACTAAATAGGCAGTGAAAGACTGACAAAAGCATAGTCTTGCAAAATATAAACCGTTTTCTGGCACGTCTCTTACGCTTCCGGCTAGAAGAAACAACCGCGGAATCAGAACATTGCCAAACGCACAAACCACCTTCTTCTGCTGGCTATTCGGATAACTGTATAAACTATTTTATAACGCGTAAAGCCTTGAAGGTAAAAAAAAAGATCAGTACTTCTAATCGTTTAAGGTTCTTATACCTGCCGTGCTATTTTGGCCCCATTACCATTATTCAGACTAGATTCTTTTGGCACAGACCTATATATTTATTGTCTAATATTTATTTTCACACTTTGGACAATGAGTTTTCGTGTGACGCAGTACCATTACCGCCATTTAAGGTATATTTCTGAATGTCTGGACATTAGTTTCCGATGTCGCATTCGCACAATAGCTTTGAACGAAGGTTGTTATATACTAAAACAAAAAAATAATAGTGCGTTCACCGCATGCTTCAACTCAACTTGTCCATCACTGTCCGTTCAACGTGTGTGAGTAACTGAAAGTTGATCCATTTTGTGGGGTGGAAGATAGCTGAGTTTTCTACTTCCTTCCTTGTGTACTCTAAAATTTTTATAGCACACATTTTGCCTTAAGGGAAAGAGATTAAGAAGTGCCTCGAACAATCGTTTAGTAAGAAAACTTCGTAATTATACGTACTGTTTCAGTTCCAGAAGAAACTAGGTATTCGGAGGTGCAGAGCTTCTATGAAGGTGAAGTAATCTTTATAACTGGTGCGACTGGATTCCTTGGACAGGTGGGTACATCTACTCCAGTGAATCACCTAAATAGATAAAATCAATTAAAAGATTATAGCACTTTATTTTTATGATTGAAAATACCTTGCGCGTGAAGGTTAGCACAAAACTACTTATGAAATTGATTTATTACGTAATGTGCTCATTGTTCAAAATTGGCTGCGCTAAACCAAACGCATGTTTGCTTGTGAAAAGACGATCTAAGGCTCCAGGATGAAAGCATAAAAATAGATTACTTGACAACTTCGTTTAAATTGATCTGTATTCAAGTCAAAGCAAGACTGCAGAGAACGGTACATGAACCTAATTGTTAAAACCTACATGGCTCATAGAATCTACTAACGACTCTATCAGCTACTGTAAAATCCCAGATCTAGACAAAAAACAAATTTGATGTTCCGCTACATGTGTTTGAGGAGAAAGTAAGAAATTTTTATTAAAGCGCTTGTGATGAAGAGTTGTTCTGAAATCGTTAAAATATTGAATACAGTCAATTAATAGTTTCGCCTTACAAGGATTTCGTCAGTGAACTCTTTTATGTAAAACGTGTACGATGCCTGTGGAGATTCTGTCTTGAAACCTGTTTTGCACCGGCTATTAGTTTGCTTTACGCAAGTTACGCACCATATTTTAGGGACTCTAGTCCGCGGACTACACATGTTTATTTGGTGAATGTTTACGTGTTGCGGACAGTCTACACGTGCGGACTACGTAATGATTTCTTTTTTCATGATCGTTATTTAGGACGAGACGTGACGAATTTCGCAATTACACATCTTGTTAATTATGATTTCTGATGATACAATATTTTTTGTGAGCAAATAAAGATATTTTTACATGTGAGTTGTACGAAAATTGATTAAAGTACGGACTTTGCACCAGGTGTGGACAATCCACCTAGTGCATAGTGTGCACCGAATGTGAACTATCTAAGGGAAATTGTTTTTCGAAAAAATTTTCTCCTGTGGACTGCACAGTGAGCACAAACTATAGAATGGAAAACACAATATTAAGATGAATATATCCCCACGTATTAAATGCTAATTGTTTCTAAGGGCTTCACTGTTCTGTACTTTTGTCGAATAAAATGGGTGGAACATAAACAGATGTCCGATTAAGGTAAAAATTTTAACCAGTTCTAACAAAGCTATTATATGACTGACTAAATGTGTCTAGAATATATGGCGTTTTCTCATTTTCTTAGACGAAAACGAACCGCAAGCGCTGCTTTTATACAAATTGAATAATAAAGTGTCTATGATTTATATTCGACAAAATGTTCGTGCGTCCATTATATGGCTCAAATCTATTTTAGTCCCCGGGTCTGTTAGTGCGTTCTGAACATGCTAACCCTTTATCACATCACGTGCGAGATCGAAAAGAAACCTTAAATACTCGAGAAAAAACCCCAAAAACGCTGAAACATATTTCACACTGGATGCAGTAAAATCTGCAGTTTAAAAAGGTTCAATTCGTAGGACCTTTAGGGTTCTCCTTTTATCTCCTTTTTGTCTTCCCAGCGCTTTACTTGCCAGGGCTTAGAGGATCTTTGACGTGAATGATGGCCTCTATTTCATATGTCAAGTATGGTATTTGCATTAGTATGATTCTCTGGCTTATTTTGTGAATATTTGTTTCTAGACTCTCCTTGAGAAATTGCTGCGGTCATGCCCAGGCATCAGGCGGATTTACCTGTTGATCCGCCCAAATAAAAATGAGAGTCCAGCAGAAAGACTGGAGCTTCTCTTAAGGTCAGAGGTAAGGTATGGAACTATTTGGAATCAGTGTTTTTTGAATTTACACGAGAGTAAGCTTTCATAATTTTGGTTCAAAACACTGTTTCAATAGTTGCTGGAATGTACAGTTTCAGTAAATGACTGCATATCCATCGCAGCTCTTTGCAAGTTTAAGGCACGTAATACGAGGCAATTTTCCTGGGATATTAAAGTACAAAACTAGTTGCCGATAAAAATAATATATTTGTAATGTATTTTAGAACATGTAACATTGACGCATGTATCACCACATCCTGAGCTAAATTACGTTTTACTAGTGCCCAAAAAAGTTTACCGAGGAAGGCTGCTATCGGCACCCTCTAACATGCACAGTAAACGAGTTGCCTCTGTAATTATTGAGCAAGAGCAAACTAATGATGTACACCGTAATATCTCGAGAGATAGCCCACCTAAAATTAAGAGCAAATTGGGCAAAAATAAGGAGTAGGCTAACTTTCGGTGGACAATCAAGAAAAGTTGAAAAAACAATGTGTGTAAATCATGTTTTTCTATCAAACGTGTTATCGCGGCTATGGACAATGATGCAAAAATCACTGTACTTCCCAGTCAGCGATGTTCCCCACCATAGCTAAATCATCGGAATTGACGCCGAGGGCACCATTGCGCCGAACACTACGATTTCTAGGAGTAAGCTATCTTTCGGTATTTAAAAAAATAGCAAATGAAGCCTAAAACAGAGGTGGGTAATCTTTTGTGGTGGGTCATCTATGGGATTGTTATGGTGCTTATATGTACACCATGTTTTCGTTTTAGGCTTGGCAGGTTTGAATTAAAAGATCTGTAAACGCTGCATTAATGTGGTTTGTGCAGGTGGGTTATACGGCAAGGGAGATAGATATATTATAGGGGGCTAGTCTTAACGATAGGTAAAATTACTAATTATCATTAATTATGTTTTTAATGAGTGAAAATAAACATTATTCAATTAGAAACGTGCTGAATATCAGCGAAAACCACTGAATCATTTATCTTGAGAAAGATTCGGAGCTTGTGCGAAGCAGCGTGGTTTGCTAAAGTTACCTCTTGTGCAATTGGTCTGAAAAGGCGAATTGTGAGAAACGGAAAAATCGCGCGGGTATTTTTTGTACACAACAGCCTGGCGCTTGTTGCACGATTAGTAAGTTAAGCGCACAACCGGTCTTTTCAGGAGCTCAGAATACTTTTAAAATTATCTGATTTAGTAGTTTTTGACAACGCTTAGCAGGTTTGTAATTGCAATCATGTTTTTATTCAACAATTGAAAGGTGAATTAGCCCTTTGTGGCAATCATTCGCTTATATTGTCTCCCCCTAGCTGTAAAGCTAATTTATACAGACTGCATTTGTGTAGCTTTGACGGCTACTGTTTAAGCTGTCAGTAACGCACAAAAGTCACAATGTATATAAAAACAGTTAACGACGTTTCAAGTGAAATGCTACTTAACGACCCTTGGTTTGAAGAAACCTCGTACTCATAGGTGGCTTTGAAGGTAGTTGACGATGATACAGCAGTTTATAGATTTCAAAGCTACATTCTCTGTATTGTACTGGTGCCGTCTGGTGTCCCACTAGGATGTTCTAATAGGTCTTTGTTGCTTTGTAATTTTAATTTATCATATTTCTTGTCGAAAACCAGCCTTTATAAGATCGTTCGCAAATGATTGCGTTAGTTGTACAAACAAAATTATAAAAAATATGGACTCCAAAGTGCTTAGATCCTTCTTCGAAAAGCATCCAAGCCTTTTCTGTGCTAAATTCAGTAAAGAGTGTAGCTGAAAATATAAAAAAAAAAATTCTTGTACATTAGTGACGTGTAAAATAAAGTTTTTCGGTTTTTAAATTTTACTTTGGAAACTAACCCGGTGTAGCCTCGTGGTACTTGATAGTGATCATTACATCAGGCATTTAGTTGAGTGAACCTATTAGTCAAATAAATGTTAAAAAGTGGAAGTTTAATTTTATTGCAATATAATGTAATACACGGCTTCTTTGAGGATAAACTGTTATTAAACAAAACTGGAATCCTGCGAATTTTATATTGTTGAAGCACAATTTGTTATTCAAAGAAAGTATGTTCCGTTCAAAAGCTGAAAGAATGCAAACCTAAAGAATGCGCTTTGTTCATATTATGTATTTTTAGTATGCCTCTCCCACAAATCTTTGTATCCATGCAGGCTTCGTAATTCTACCTAATGCGATCAAAATAAATTTCCTAAGATTGATCTAACTAATCCTTTATGACGTGCCTAAAGTATGCAAAAAACATATATTAGCGAAAAAGATGTCTTTTTTTTTCTTTGCTTCCAGAAATTAGAAATTACAGATTCAAATAGGTTACTACCTGCCGAATGTTACAATGTTCCTGGTTTGTTGCATTCGATCGCTGAAAGAGTACACTCCGTGATATTCTTTTGCATGTGCCACTCCCGTGATAAGCAGTGTCAAGAAAGGTAAAAGAAATACATAGAGATTCCGGTTGTTAGACAAAATCTAATTATGTTAGATTTGTAAGAAATGATTAGCAGTCGTCTTGACAGATGGCGACAGTTAAATACACAAGTCAAAAACGCTATTGTTTACTGCAACAACGCGGGTATTTGGGCAATTGGATTCATCGTTGAAAATTGAAAAGCGCCCAAAATTACAAAGAGAAGCAGAAATCTACATGACACAGATTACTCTTCGATCTGTCTTTTATTTTTGTCCTTGTAATTCTTCGCACATTTAAGCTTCGGGTACTGTGAACTCAGTGGGTTTTCGTTATGTCCATAGGACACCGAACACCGGACACTGGACTTAGACACCAGAACTAGTCAAGGTTCCTATTGGAAACTTTCTGTCCGGTGTCCTCGGCACAAATATGTTTTAATGAAGTTCAAAGTTTTATAGCTGCGCATTAACGGCTTGAAAAACTTCACGAGTAAAGCCAATCCTGAAACATTATCAGCTACGTAAGGACTCCAAGTTTTATGTGGTCGGGCTAGTGCTCCCCATTGCCAACAAGCCTATACCACCACCCCCTAAAAAAAGATTTCAGAAAATGGTGTTCGTGATTGATTTTTTTTTTGATCATGACATATAGTTTCTTGATGGAACAAAGCAAAGCATTTTCCAGTCTTTCACAACCCCAGGTTTCTGCATGCACTGGACCAATAAATTGTTCTTAGAAAATGGGCTTGCTCGTACGAGCGTCTAATTCTTGCGTTATCTCCTACTTTAGTGCTTCAAGCGGTTGAATCAAGAATATCCAGAGAGTTTGAACAAGGTTGTGGCCGTGCAAGGCAACCTCAAGGAGGAAAACTTAGGCTTGAAATCCAGCGAATACGAACGCCTCACTTCAGAAGTGTCCGTTGTCTTTCACAGCGCGGCAACCATCAAGCTCAACGACACCTTAAGGTGGGCACGCTGAATCAATGCTCCTAATGATAAGTGTGAAAGTCAACACCTCGCGTTCTTATAGTATATATGCGGGATCTCAAACGCATCATCGGCCGGTGTGTTTAGCGTGATATTCCATGCATTTATCAAAAATCTCCTTAAACGGCAACAAATGACGTCAAAGAAGCCGGCCTGTCATATATAAGATTTGCTCCAGAAGCGAAGTTTGGGTTTTTATTTCGCTTGAAATGAATGTACATATAAGTTAACTTTAACTAATTATGGCAGAAAAGTGTGCATGCATTAAACGTAAAAATATTGACGGTGTAGAAAGCTTTGTTCTTTATTCCTCCGGCTTCAAATTTGCGTCATCGCGAAGTCGGGAAAATCGTTTTTTCAACCTTCTCCGAATGTGATTTTTTTTCACGAATACAAGGAAGTATCTTGCAAAAGTAAGGTCAGTCTCCTGATTAAGACGGTTTTCGCTACCTGATATAAAGATTTAATTGATAACAAAAATAGGCATGACACCATCATGATTATAATGCAATTAAACGCAAAGGTGCAACCGAGCTGGACAAGAATGACGAAAATAATTTCTGGAGAAGGGGAAGAAGAGGGACAAAAGAGAAGCACAAATCTCCAAACACAGCTAGGTGACTGGTGAGCGACCGACAAACATTAAATTGCAAGCTTCACCCTTTTTGGTTTTTGACTGGTGAGCGACCAAGTAATCTAGGTGAATGCTGAGCGACCGAATAACCTTAAATTGCAAGCTTCAACCTTGTTGTTGTTAGACTGGTGGGAGCTGATAAAACCCGTTTGCTCTACTGACGTCTAACCCCTGGTTAGCTCAGTTGGTAGAGCACTCCACCTGTAATGGAGAGGTCCCACCTGGACCAGACGAATTTTTTCTGTCGCTCACCAGTCACCTAGCTGTGTTTGGAGATTTGTATTTGTTCTTTGTCCCTCTTGTTCCCCTTTTTCAGGGATTATTTTTGACTCTGTCATGACCGTCTCTCCCTGAACACACCTGACTCTTAATAAAAAAAAACAGTTAGGGCGCAGGCGAGCTGGTGTAATTTTACCATTTTTTACCACCGTAGACTGGGTGGAAGAAGCACGACGACGTCTCAAACACAGTCTTAATCAGTCTTTTACATGCTAGGAAAGAAGGAGCACTCCCACCCGTGCGACGTCCACTTCATCCACATTATTAGATCTATGCGTAAGAAACTTTCAGTCCGACAACATATTATCTGGAGTAAATGATCATAACCATATACTCATAATACTTAAAAAACAAGCGAGCTGGTGATGATTCACGGTAATAAAACCCGAGACTCAGGAACACAGAAGGGGACGAACACAACACAACGTCTCAAACACAGCTGAAGTGGGCCAGAACAGAAATTATCTACAGTAAAATCGATGGGACTAAAAGGATATTAGGGAGACCATTAGAATAGGGAGTATTGGGACTGCATAAGCAATCCTTCCGTTTTTTAGACAACCTAACTTGGTCCTATACCAGAAACGGAATTTCCGTCTCCATGACGGTTGAAATCCAGCCGAAAGGTTAGGTAAAATTGATCTGTTATTTTTTTTTTTTTGAAGGCATCGGAAGGAGACAGAAATAAAGGAAGGGGGGAGGTAGGTTTTTGGGAAGGTCGGGGTTAAGTAAGTACAAAACGAGCGTGTTGGTTACAGTAATTAAACATGAGGAAGTACATAGAAGGGGGGGACGGACGGTTAGCGGCACAAACTTTAAGGCTTTGAGATTACTTTGTGGCGCATTTTGGCTCACTGGGTGGGCTTCCACATGTGTTTTCGAGGTTTGTGTATACGTCGGAAACTGTAAAGGGGGAGGGGGGGACGGGCAGGGGGTACATGTGAGTGGTGTGTTTGTGTACGACTCGACGGCGGAGGGCAAGGGTGCGTTGCAAGGAAGTGGAGGTTAACAGTGGTAGCAGTGGCGGGTGATAAGTCAACTGCATGTACGTTCTCATGGACGCTGTGGCGCCTAGCGCATGTGCATGTATCTGTGTGCGAGGAGGGCTGCTTACGTCGACTGGACGGGAGGAAGCGGCTTGACCTTTGGGACTGTGGATGTCGGTTGGGGCACCGGGGGGGCTCGCCTTTTTGAACGAGTGTCTGACAAATAAACCTTCAGCTGTGCTTGAGACGTTGTGTTTTGTTCGTCCCCTTTTGTGTTCCTGAGTCTCGGGATTTATTACCATGAATCATATACCCATGTTTTGTATTTTGCCTAAAATAATTAATTTATTAAAGTAACGAACCGGTTTCCTGACTGTAGCGTTATAGATCAGAGGAAACGTTAAGTAAATTCTACGACTCATTGCTGGAACACAACTGCGAATATGTCTTGTGTGAAAGGAACACTGAAATATTGTATAGCGTATCATGTGAACCCCTAAAAACTATTATGAGGCATCATTTTCCTTGTGGTTGAAATAGTAACTAGAAAAAATAGAAGACTGTGGATAACGCTAGAGCTTTACTGTAGGATACGGCAAAAAAACAAAAAAACACATTTATTCTCGATTTGTTTTAACTTAGGGCACCACCGTTTATTGGAATTTGAAAGATAGAAATCGCTTGAACGTGTATATTCGCAAAAAATAGTTTCTTACAGCGCAATTTTACGAACATAAGGAATGATGAAAAAAAAAAAAAAAACTTCCAGCCTGTCCATTTTGGTGACGAAGGAAGACCAGCGAAGCCGTACTATGGTGGGAATGAAGTAATGGCCGGCCACAAGTCGACAAGCCAGAATGGAAAGGCTCGAGAGGTTTCCACCATGAGCAACGGTGGCAACCAGACAACCCGGAAGCCGGTGTCTGGTTGCCGCCGTCGCTAATAGATGACGGTAGCTGTCCAGAGTTTTGTGTCGGGATTTGTTTGCCCGCGGACACGATACTGGAGAAACTATCCCTTAAAAGCGGCGCTGTAAAACTTAGTATAGGAGTCGGTTAGTTAAATTATTAGGCTGAAGCATCGGGATAACTGCCTTAGTTAATTAAAATTGACGTTGAAACGTTATTAGCTCCTCGGCGCGACAAGATTGAATTCATATTTTCTAGCGGCTTGTGAATTTTTGTCTACAAGTCAACCTGGTGATTTTGGAAAATACTTAAAAAATACCCATCCAAGTTCGATCGGCCTGTATCCTGTCACTCAAGAAAACAATAGTGCCTATTATGTATCTAGAATAATAGAACCTCTGGAGTCGGTGACGTTAAACTAGAGCCCATTTAATTTGTATCTCACATTATTTCACCTTATTTTACTCGTACCTGCAATTGTATCCTTGCATACGGCATATTTCGTGATTAACTAAGAAAGGTGAAATATTAAAACAATATCATGAATCTACACATGACTTGGATGACTACAGGCCCATATCATTGTTGCTTCTGTTTTCGAAATTTTTAAAAGAAAATGAACGACCGGCTTGAGGCATTGTTTTTGCAAATCCAATGCCTTGATCTAAATACACCGCAGCTTTCAGAAGGTAAAACAACTGAACCAGCATGTTTGCACGTCAAAGATACAAGAGTATGTTTGACGTTGGCAGTAGTTGAAATAAATAGAGAAATAAAAAATGTGTCAAAAAGCAGTCCAGCTGTATGTACGAAATGTAGTACAAGACTAGTAGGGTACGTTGTTGGGCTATTGGGTTCATCTTAGTTAAACATAAAATAGCGCAAAAAAGACAAGGACAAGAAGTGTACAGGACATCTTAGATAAACATGAAATAGCACAAAAAAGACAAGGACAGGAAGTGTACAGACAAGCATATATATACAAGATGTATATATATGCTTGCTTTTCCTGAGTAAAAACAAGTTGAAAGTTAGCGCTTCTCCTGTATACTTCTTGTCGTTGTCTTTTTTCTGCGCAATTCTATATGTTTAACTAGTACGAAACAGCCGAGACTATGAGCTTTTCTTTAAATTATAGAACTTTTTTCGCCTTGGGGACACAGGAGGGGAAGGAGCGCGCGCTTACCTGGCAGCCGCGAGCCGCACTTGGTCCCTCAAAGAGCCGCATGTGGCTCGCGAGTCGTAGTTTGGATACCTCTGCTGTATGATGTCTCAATGATAAGGCGAGGAAGTGCGGTCAGTGTGGATAAAATGCATGAATACCACCTGTTGCTTAAACAGAAACCTTCCAACGGCAATTGTTTACAGCACAGCCTTGAGTAAGTGTTTATTTTTCCTAATTCATAAGAATATAGTGCACCATATTTTTTATCGGATTTTGATTTAACTGTTTCCAAGGTTGGCCGACGTTGCAGTGCACTAAAAATTGTAGCTCAAACTTTCACACAGACAAAGAACAAAACACTCAGACAGTGCTAACAACTTTATATGGCGTGATTAACTTCTGCTTCTACTTCTATTTCAATTGAAAACAATTTTCAAATAGAAGAACACGAAAAATAAAAATTAAAAGGCAATAATTCCTTTCTGAAGCCCAGACAAACCTCCAGTTAAATAATGAATCTCTTTTTTGGGCAACATTTTTGACGACGTTTAAACAGATTTGTCCTGCAGTCGTATAGTGTTTTCGACTTCGAAAATTTTCCTTGTTAATTGGTTGGCACATTTACCTAAAACGGTGCTGTTGTTGAAATGTGCCGACCAACCACAAAGCAAGTCACTACAATAATTGCCTTTTTATACAATCTCCTTTTTGGTAGAAAAAGATTACGAGAAATTTCCTTCTTACTGTCATACTGCAGAGCATCTGTGGAACTCACTTTGTTGCACCTCCGTATTAACACCCATAGAAAAGAGCTCGTGCAGCCTAGTGCACACTATAGGTGATGTCCTCGTGCCGGAGTCTGTGCAGCACGTCCTCAGTCTCGGTCCAAAGTTTGCTGTGGAACCTAAAACAATGCCGCCGGAGCTAGTTTCTATTGTGTGACCATTGTCAAGGCAATTTCCAGCAGCTGAGATAAATCCTTGCACTACTGAAGTAGTAAACCTACT